ACCGATTTAAATGTAAATCCTCCGCCTATAGACGCGTTAAAATTAACAACGTGACCACTTTTGAAGTGTTACAATATTTTTATTTTTTTTTTTTTTTGCGTAGTCTTCGAATTTCTATGGTTTCTGACGTGACGCGCGACGAATTAATATCATTGCCGTTTTATCTAATAATATATAAAACTTAGTCGCGCCCACGCGCTCGGCTGTTGTTAATGGAAATTCGCTTAATGAATTGCGCGTGCACTTTTCGCAACGAACGAATTCAATTTCGAACCTAAATATATACATAGACTTTAATCGATTAAATTAAGATTTAAAATTTAAAAAAAAAAAAAAAACCCCGCCTAACCGAAATCCTCTTCGCCGAGAGGACACGGGAACTGGACCGGGCGTACGAATAAAATTGGCGAAAACAAAACAAAACCACGTACTAGTCTGATCGGTTAGACGGGACACCCGCGGCGCTGTGTGCGCTGCTGTTGGTACTTACGATTTTCACGGCGGAGTTCATTTTTTCGCGTTCGGTTGACGTGTTCGGCGAACTGTGGGCGACGATGGCGGCGGCTTGATGCGGCTTTGGGAGCTGTCGGAGAGCGAATGATTTTCGGACCCCGGCGGACCGCGGTTTATATACGGAACCACCCGGCGCGGACGCCGCGCGAAGGGAACGGGGAACGACGTCGGTTTCGCATTGTGCAAGGAACCCGGCACCGACGCGGGCGATTTGGCATTGGCGCGACCGGAGCCGCCGTAACCGTTTTTACCGCGGCCCCGGTCCGGTCGGCCGCGCGGAATATTAAACGTCCGAAATAGGGCTAAGCCGCGCGCGTGCGTGGACGCTTGTCGTACGTGTTACGCGTCCGTAAAACGCGTCCGCCGCGGGGCCGTGCGACAAACCGTATCGCGTTCGGGATTCTAAACGCTAGAAGGTCGGTCCGAGTACCCGATTTCGCAACGCGCCGTCGGACGCCTGTAGACTTTCAGAAACCGGCGATTTTCGTTCTCGCCCGTTCATTATTCTTCTTCTTCCTCTCTCGCCGGAATTTCCGAAACGCGCGGAAAACTAGAGGCACACGCATCGCGCATAACACAATCTAAAAATAACGGCACGCAAACAAACTCGCAGTGCGATTATGTTATAATCGCGGCGACAAACAAAAGCGTACGGGGCCAGGGGGATTTTCGTGTCCCTCAATACCGTCCGGCCACATTATCGTTACGTTCGAAACGGTTATTATACCGTTACAGTGATATCGTAAGAACGATATTGTGTTTGATGCTCGCCGGTTTTTCCACGTGGGTACATCTAAACAATACGATTGTACGTGAGCGTTGACGCTGTCGCGATTCCCCGGACGGCTTAAATATACAAACGTATCTCTCTGCAACAGCGAATGCGCCTGCGATTAACGAATCAAACGGTCTTTCGTTTTTTTTTTTTTTTTTCGTTTTTATTTTTTTGTTTTTTCTTCTTCTTTGTCGACTAATTCAAAATAAATACGGCATCTTGTACGGTAATGCAATACCGAAAAATCACTCGTCGACGCGTGAAACCCGCACCAATTCTGCCGGAAGACTTTATTTTTGCATTCGGATTCTATACTATTCGGACCGCGTGTGTAATCGTGTATTGTTATTACTTAGTCGGAACAATAAACAAATAAAAACGGTTACCGATGACGGCCTTATTTTTAATCTTTCAAACGTGTTAAACCCGAAGAACCGGGTTTTCCTCATTATCTCGAATATTAATGAGAATTTCAAAAAATTTCCCTCTCTGAGGTACCACCCAGGGATACATGTCCTTTCGGAAAAATTGCTTCGCTTGGTGCGAGGTTTCTAGTAGAAGAAGTTTTCACATTAAAATAAAATATTAAACATCATTGTTTTTGCGAATATTTCTCTACTAAATTAAAATAAAAAAAAAAAAAAAATTGATAACAACGAAACCATTATTTCCACAAACTGTCCCGTTTATTCTACGTTTATTTTTGGTTTTGCTGAATTACAATATTAAAAAAAAAAAAAAAAAAAAAAAAAAAAAGTAAATCACATACTCGCCAATTACATTATAATATGGAAACTGAAAAGGTGTCCTGGCATTTTTAGATTAAAGCACTGTTTCTGGCAGAAAACATAATGCGTAATAATTGAAAATGATGAAATCGACCGCGCCGCGGCGAGTCGTAAATATTTATCTATTGTCCGATAATTTTAAATCCGGTTCTTCCCAATTATTTTGAAAATCAAAAAATGGCCTCCGAATTGCAAAAATAAAGTTCTTTTGTCATTTTTTAGGTAAGTAAGTAAGTAAGTTTCCTATTCGAAAATTGCTCACAGACACAAAACAATTTTAACACACACACACACACACATCATCATAGTAAAACCATTAGATCCCTCGCTACGCCTCGAATTTAAAACCGGTCGTGCACGTTCCCCTAATTACAAAAATTAAAACTGACTTAAATTGTATGAGTTGTTAAAAATTGTCGAGACTTTTGTAATTGTTAATGCAAACACATTATTTTTATGTGCAAATTGACCACGTTTTGTAAAAAAAAATCACGACCAGGACTCTTTAGACATATACATTCTAAATAATAATACACGTAAATAGCGTAACGACTCGTCGAAAAATTTAAATGATTTTGTGATACTTGTGAATATTCTTAAGTTACAAACATTTATATTAACATTCAAATCGAATGTAAATAATTCAATTTAACACCACTCATTGGATTTCTATAAACTAAACTTAAATGTTGAGAATAAAAACAAATTAATAGATACAAAATAATGTTTCAAATTAATAATACTGAAAATACATTGTTTTCATTTTTTTATTATTTTACAACTTATAATATAAGTACTCAACACTAGAATGTCCCCCCCCCCGAAAAGACCCATTGCGATATCTTGGAAAGTATTGAATTTTTTAGCTCCGTTTCGCCAGCATTGCCACATTTGAATTTCAATATCAAACACTTTGACAGTATTATGTACTTTCATTTTGTAAAATTTTGTACGGAAAAAAAATTGTGCATACCTTTCAAAGCACGATAAAACGCGATTTTTCTATGCGTGTGGCAGGGAAACGTTTCTCCAGCACTCGCATTGCCAAATTCTCATGAAATTTAATTTTCGTTGACACGATGTTATGTACTGTTTTTTAGAAAACAAGATAAATGAAAAACAATTTTTTACAACCTACTAAACAAAAGGAAGCGCGGATTTTCTATGCGAGTGTGAGAGAAATGTGTCCCCAGATCTCCCATTGCAAAATTCTTCTCTAAATTGTTATCGTTGATATAGACATTAAACCTATTCGAATGCTGTTAATAATAAATTCACAATTACAAAGATCATATTTCCAAGCATAAACGTTGCATTTTGTTTACACACAATTGCATTTATAAGGATTACCTATAATTACCTGCAATACTTATATACGAAAAATATATACCTACCCACTGTTAATTCGTTTGGGGCGAAGTTTTTTAGCTTTGTGGGCCGAGAATTAAATGATTTTGTTTTTCTCAGCACGCCATTAAATTGTGAAAAACACCAACTATAACAACTTCGATGAGAATTGAAGCAATGCGAGTGCTGGGAAAACGTTTCCCTGACATTTACATAGAATAATCGCGTTTTATCATAATAAAAAAATTATATACAATTATTTTTCAGTGAAAAATCGTACACAATAAAGTACTTAATACTTTCAGGGTTTCGTATTGGAATTCGAAAATGGCAGTGCTAGTGAAACGGACCTAATTTTTTTCGGAACTTTTTTAGACAATTTAAAATACAAGCAGATCTAAAATTATTTAATAGTTTAATTTTTTTTTTTTTTTTCATTTTTACTTTTAGGGGTGAAACGACTATCTAATTTTAATTTTTAAATGGCGTTTACAGTATATTCCATTTTGAACAAAGGAAAATAAAATTGTATTTAAAATTTGTTCTTGATATTTCATTAATTCACAAAATGGTATTTTGCCTTGAAATCAAAGAAAACAAATTAAAATACTACCGTCTACCTCCTCGGCCCCTGACTAATTCAAAGCGTTTGCTTTCTAGAAGTTTCTTGTTATTATTTCAAATGTACGCGTCGCCTTTAAACGAAAATTAAAAAAAAAAAAAAACATAAAACCATAAATAGTCATTAACTTAATAATGAAAAATCATGGAATACATAATTAGTATAATCGTGTACAATAGTTTTTAAATTAAAAATGTAAAATTTACGAAAAAAAAATGAAAAATGTTACAAATACTAGCGCGTATTTGTGGACGATCGATTGGATAAGGAAATCGGAACGAAATTCAAACGGAAGGCGGCGAGAAAAACAAGACGAAACGTCTAGGTAGGCGTAGAAGCTATTTTTATGTTATTCGATAAAAAACGAACTGAATGCGATTCGCGATCGAGAGTATTGCGCGTGTTTCAATAATGATATTCTACGCTGATTTCCAGCCGGTACATAATTGGATTGGCGACGGTTCAAATTGTCCGAGGATTTCGCCGCCCAAAACACCACCGCGCTGGACAGTGGCGCGCCAAACAAATAATCGTGTTTGTTATTCGTATTATAAATATTTCTTTTCTCGACGGATTACATCGCGTGACATAACCACGGCGATGACTTTGTGACGGCGCGCACGTGTAACATGGGGTACGCGAGTAAAAGTAAATCCGAATAATTAAATTGGCCGCGTGCCGACCGAGACGGCAACATACCGGGTAATGATTTGACACTGGTAGCTGACGACGTGGTTCGCTTACCGATCGGTCGATTCGGAATGACATTATACTGCTGCGGGCGCGCGGATTTATTATAGCGACGACGGCAATATTATTATGTCGTTAATATCGTTATTGTTACGATAATATCTGGGACATTACGAAATCCATTTCGGTCTCCTCGTCCGCCCGGACACGCGTTATTATCGCTGGACGACAACCTCGCGGTATATAAGAGGGTACGGCGTACGTCCGGGACATCAGTAAATCATCGTCCGCCGTCGTTCGCCGCCAGTTATCAAACACCCGTCGCACACACACACCAATAATCAATCCGAAATGAGCGTAAAAATGGTAATTATCATTGTTATTCGTTTACTCGTCGCCGGAGCGGGATCGACAGGGGCTTAGGGGGCTATAGACGTGTACCGCGAGTCGAAGGGAGTGTCACACGATGTGTATACTTACAAACTATAAGATTTCGCTATCGTTAAACGCGAGTCAAACGAACGAATTCCAAAATTACTTGACGCAACATTTATGTGCGCACGTTTTTTTTTTTTATTAGTTTGGATCCGGCCGGGTACTCGATAAGGATTGTATCCTTGTCACACCGATCGTCTCTTGTTCCAGTACAGATAATGCGACTCGTTGTCTGATGTTCGCGTGTCTGTACGGAAATGTTTACGGTTTTCAGGGGATTGACGATACTGTCGTTCGCATATATCGTAAAATATTAATATTTACACGTTTTTGATTGACAGTCGTTGTTCGCGCTGTTCGCTTGCAGTCTCGCCGTCCTGTCCGCCGCCGCGCCCGCACCGTCAGGAGTGCCACTAGCCCTATCGGCTCCGTTGGTGGCGCCCGCCGCCGCAGTGGTCGCCGCCGCCCCAGCCCCGGCGCCGGTGGTCACCGCTTACAGCTCGCAGTACGTGGCCAGGAACTACAACGGCATTGCCGTCGCCCCGGCCGTCGTCCCGTCCGCGGCCTACTTGAGCTACCCGCAGGTGTACGCGCCGTCGTACGCACCGGCGTACGCGGGCCCACTGGTCGAGGAATATCTGTTCTGAACGGCACAAGTTTAAAGCACTCAACTGCTCTTCGCAACACGAATACGTTTTCTCTTCGATTTTACATTGTTCTGTACCTATATATAATATAATGTTGTAATATTTTGTAAAAAAAAAAAAATGAATAATAAAAAACCAGCTAAAGGCCTTTTAAACTACAAATTATAAAACGTTTTTATTTTTTCGACTTACCCTTGAAAATCTATAATTTGGTATTCTCGGAGGTAACGAACACGCTAATAACATTATGCAATAATATTAAGTACTCGAATAAAAGTGTTTGGCTACTTTTTATTGTCATACTATTCTAAATGCTTCAGTAAAAAAATAACCAAATACCTACATATTCTAAATACGCTTATTTTCGTATTTGTATTTTAGATTCTGATACGGGTTTTACTATGATGTTTTTTTTTTTTTTGTGTGCAAACAGAATTTTTGTTCTACTTGGTACTTGAGAACGATAATTTTTTTGAAATTCTCATTAATATTCGAGATAACGAGGGAAAGGCTATTCTTTATGTTAAAAAAGAGAAGAAAAATTAAAAATAAGGATGTCATAGGCCACCGTTTTTATTTTATATTTTTGTTATTTAAATCTTTTATAGTCTTTTGACTATTGAAAACTCTTGGGAAAACCGAAAAATTACTTCCCTAAAAGACCTTCCCAATCAGATTTCGTTTTAGTAAAAGTACTATCGTTTTAAATCGGAACAAGATCTCTGGTAGAAAAGTTTTCCACAAAAAAAAATAATAATAATAAAATAAAACATCTTTGTAAAACCATAAGCTTCTACGTTCCACTCGGAATCTGAAAATAGTTAGAAAGTTTCAAATATATTTTGAAACATTCGAATATTTATTCTGAATACTTTTTAACTCGTGTATTCGAATACGTATTGTGAACATAAAATAAAAGTACATAAATGTATTCTTACTGTAAGATTGTAGTTAAAAATATATAGATTTAAATTTTGTTTTGGTTATTAACAGTGTGAGGAAACAGTTATATTGGTTAAAAAAAAAACCCGTATACCTAAAATTTGTTTTTAAGTGGTAAAAATTTAAAAAAACGTTTCATATTTAAAACTTTCCATAAGAAACGTTTTAAACGAACAGTTTTAGGAAATTCTTATTTCGAGATCGTAGAAATAATATAATTTTAAAAATCGCAAATAATTGAAAAACTGAATAAATGAGAATACATTTTAAGTAAACAGTGACATTATAATCTCGAATTCCGGTCGATGTTTAAATCGATTTTCGAGTACACCGACAACTGATTGGTTATTTATTTATACATAAAATAAATTATAATCTCTGGCGCTCCACCTGGATAGGTGGCATATCGATTTTAATTGATCTATTTTCGGTCGTGTCTGAGAATACTTAAATTATATTCGGGACTAATAGCACGTTGTTCGGCACATGACAAATAATAACGATAGTATTCTATTATACATCATACTTAGAAGAACTACAATACCGCAATAGTATAAATTAATATTACCTATATAATTTATATATTTGTTGTCGGATGACTTAGAAATTGCGTTCATGAATGAACGCTGTACGACAAAAGACACACGGGTATACGTATACGTAATATTATAAGCAAAACATAGAAAAAATGCTATCATTATAGATCGGAGCAAAATTGCTGGTAGAAAAGTTGCACACGGAAAAAAAAAGGCCATAATATTTTTTTACTAATACATACGTTTCGTGCATTTTTCGTTCTTAGTATATTGTAAAATAATAAAAGCATTATTTTCGTGAATTTCCCGCTTTTCTTATGTTTTTCTCACGGTTTTTCCCATTTTTACTATGAAAACCACTAGGAAAATCAAAAAGTGACCTCCCAAGAGTACAATCTGGATGATTTTTCCTTACAGAAATGGTGCCACGCGTACATATCGGAGCGAGATTTCTGGTATAATTTTTGTATACAGGATAAAAAAATTTAAATAAAATTTAAAAAAATATACATCTTTGTAAAATCAATACATTCTTCGCTACACTCAGTATCTAAAATACATACAATCGCGACCGTTGAAATTGTATTTCTACCATTTACACCGAATCGTTTTCGAATTTAGAATTGCAACCAATATGTGCGGTTTTTTATTTATTTATTTTTCTACGCAGTTATTGCATCAATAAAATTCCTATAAGGTACACAACAATATTGACACAACTCAAAAATGTTATACTTTAAACGCGTAATTTTATAAAGTGCGTATTGTCCTAAGGGCCAAGACGCAGTAATAATTTAGTGAACAATAGAATCTGCTGCAGAGATTGTGTTTGATATAAACAAAGTGGGTGTAATACCTACACAAAAGGCTATTTTGTCTAACAAGCGATATATTAAAAGGCTGAAAAACTTAATTTACCGTCAGCTGACATAATAAAACAAAAACTAATTGTACGCATCATGTTATAATAAACTCGCAAAAATATTTTTTACGTCCTAATTTTCGTATCGACCATGCCCACCCAATTATTTTATATTTCAGTCAAGTATCAAATATCAATCAATTATAGCGTAACTAAAGTAGAGCATAATAAAATCAAGTGAGGATTTAATAAAGTGCCACGTATCAACGCAATAACTTGCCGTAACTAATAGAGCTTTTAAAATTAAATCAGGTTATTTAAAATATCCAGCACTAATTTAAATTCCCCGTTCTCCTTTATAATTTCGTTCGTTAAATCGTCTGGCTTTCTAATATAATAAGTAACGAGTGAATGGAAAAAATTAACTTTTAAAACGTAATAGAATTACTCATCTAGGCGTGTAGTCGGAATTCCCGAGAGCGGGAGGGAAATTCAAAATCGTTTTTTTTTAATTATTACACTATATCAGTATCACGAACTGTTATCATAAACAGACGGGATACTCGCGTGTGCCATATCTGTCTTAGAAAAAGACGATATAGCAAATTTGAGTTCAGCAGGTCCGACTTTGTGCTGTTAGTTTTTATATTACAGTGAATTGGCCCATAAATATAATAACATTATCTGTGCTACCTTGGCGCTATTTTTTCGATGTTTTACTTTTCAAATGAGATAAAAGTATTAATAAATTCTGATATTTCACGCACTCGTATCTCTTTTAATCACAGCACATTATTGTCCCTGCCGAACGCAAATTCGCCACGTCGTACGTTTGTAATATTTTCTTTATGTCTGATGTCATATTGGCTTAGAACACTGCAGATATATTGTACGAATGCAGTAAAACAGTAGAATTTTATTTTTTTCACATTAAATAAATAACAATTAAAATAATGATAATTTGAATAACAAATGTAATAATAATAATAATTAACAAAAGTTAGATGACCAGGTCCAAAATGCTTTTATTTTAAGCAGCGTTTTGCTAGCGGTTTGATCAACAATATTTTCTATACTAATGTTTTCATTTCCATGGAAAATATTAAAAATTGAACATGGTGTACATATAGTTAGATAATATTATAGCCATAATGTCGTATTGTGAACTAATTTACCGTTTCATTATCATACACGCCCGCGATAGATGAACGTGGTCAAAGACGGGAGTTTTGCTACACCTACAACACTCCCACTCCCTCCCCCTCGCTACGCATTGCACACCAACAAACATACTCACCACTGTTTGCGTTCTAAGTAAAACGTGCGTTTGCTATTATGTCACTCGTTAATTAGTCTGTAACAATAAACGTGGGGGTATAGACTAATTTTGAAGTTTGTTTTGAATTTAATTACAGGACTACCAGATTATATTTATATACAATTTACAGTACGGAATAAAATAATATAATGTTATACAGTATACAATAAAGAAAACAATTAGGTAGCCCTGCAATTAAATTTAAAACAAACTTTAAAATTAGGCTGTAACTATGTGGGTATAAGGAACTCGGTGTAGTACTGACAATCATCGAAATAGGCACTTAAGACCCACCCCCCCCCCCCCCCGTTTTTTACAATAACTTAAGTACCTATATGTACTTAAGAAAACATAGAAATTTAATTCGAGATAACGGTAACCGAGAAAGGATTCATGATTAGGTTAGGTTATATTGAAAATATAAATATATGTAACATTACTGTGAATGTCCGGAGTTGGTGAATGCTGACAGTCACCGATTAATTAATGTCGACGTACACCAAAGTCATTGGTAAATGTTGACATATTGATTAAATTTATACTATATGTAAACATTCACTAGTAAATGTCGACATTTATATAGGCAACGATTTTGATGAATGTTGGTAATGCCGATATTGTTTTGCGGATAAGCCGCAATAATAATAATACAGTTATTATTAATCCAGATATCCTACTTAGTGCTTATACAATAGTATAGGAAATTTACAACATGTTAAAAATTCTATAAATGTTTTATTTAAAACAAAAGTTACTCCGTCTGAAGTTGGGTGAACTGTCCGTATTCGAGTTCCAGATGTTGATCGTAGTAAAATGGATTCTCAAATTTAATATCAATCGCTGATGTACTAAAGGATCAATAAATTTCCTCAAGGCAAGTTTCTGCATCGAATTCGTCATTTGGAAGACAAGAATATACGCGATTTAATTGCAAAACAAAGTGCATCAAAAAAAAATGTGGTTACAAAAATTTTAGAAATTTATGTAACGCAAAATGTCATGACAGTTTGTCATGTTGTTGCGATAAATAATAAAATAATTAATGAATAACATTTTTCGTGTGGTAGAATAATTATGATTTAAATTAATAATACAAATATAATACTATTGTTTAATAATAACAATAATAATTTGATGATTGAATTAAACACGTAGCTACGTACCTGTTTAATACAGTGTACAATAATTGTGTTGTATACGGTGCGAACAGGACATGGTCGATGTGGTTACCTCCTGTATAAGTGGAGATTCCAAGTTAACCCAGTATGTGACTGCAGAAACGGGGAGCGAACAATAAACCGTATAGTAGTAGATCGCCACAGTAGAAAATTCAATCGAGGTTTTGGAATCCTGCATGCAGTGTCACCAGAAGCGATCACCTGGATTACGAACCTTGAACCCATATCGCAAGAACGATGTACCTTTAATATTTGTGATTTTTGACTTTGATTAATTATAATTCTGTTTGTAGTTGTACCATTATGTCTTATTATATCTGTATTATCTTATGTATTGTGTTTGTTACAGTTCGATAGTTAAGTTGATTTGTGTTAAAGCCATACGAAATAAATAAACAATAATAATATCGTCTAAAGTGTATAACTTTATGTGCAAATACGTACGTCAACATTAACCAAAATCCTGATGTGAACGTCAACGTTCACTAGTAAATGTCTGAATTTAGTTTTCCTTTTTTTAACAATTTAGGAGGTGTATGTCGACATTAACCGGTGACTGTCAGCATACACCGATTGCGGACGTTCACAATAACATAGATATATACCTGGGTTATATAGGATACAGTAACTATACTATTAACTATAAGTCTATAAGTAGCCTTAAATATATATAATTATATAGTAAACGAACAATTATTAGACAGACATTACACACTTTTTTTCTAAAAATTGCGGCGCACAGTTTGGGAACCCCTAGACTAATCTATAATGATGCCACATAAAATCGGATTATCTGAAATTCTGAAAATACCGATTTCGGATTTCAAATTTCGAGATTTTTAATTTTTTTTTTTTTTTTCTTATTATTAAGAAATCTACCAAATACATTATTGATTTTACTATAAATCTGAAAAAAAACGTGTATAAATGAATATTACAAAAAAAAAAAAACCCCAGATTTTAAATACTTTTTCGATTTCGGATTTCGAAAAACCGGATTTTTCACACCAATAATTTATTATTAAACGTTTCACGTATGTCGAGTAAATAACACCACGACAACAAATGAAATGAATAATAGTTATTGTTTATCGAAACTGTACAATAGCGATTTTGCCGAAAATTGGAACAGAATTATTGTTTGTTTATTAAAAACGAAAAATTTCATTCGAAAATGCAGCGTTGTAGAGCTGGACTGTTTGTATTTTCCCCGCAGTGGCCAACAATGACCGACGTGTGACGTTGACAATAGTAAATATAGCAATAGTAACAAATACGAGTTCAGTATTGCTATAAGAATACTATAGTCATTGTATAGATAATTAAAATAATACGAAGGCGAAATGATTTTCAGATTCTCGACGCATCGATAAATTTATTGGTTTTACTACGCGATGCGTGCTTCTTTTTTTTATTTTTTTTTTTACACCTACTGTAAAAAATACCTATAGCCATGTCTATGCGACAATGCTCGTCTCTGAGTATACGAACGATATAATTTGCAAACGTCGAACGATCAAAAACGGTTATAGCAAATCGTTTATCGTAAGCGTGACGTACATAATAGATTGGGCATTACATAAGGTTCGAATATTAAATTAAATTATAATCAGGGTTCGGGACTTATGGACTTAAAATTCATAAAAAAAATAAGCGCTTAAAAATTACAAAACTGTACGGAGTATATGATAACTCGAAGCGCGTACCCCGTGTCCATTGTAGCTTCTTACTTCCGATTGCTTCACCGGTGTTCAGTTTTCGATAGAGTGACTTAAGAATTGATTTTAGTTTCTCGTTCTTCAATTGTCCATTTACTAACCCCACAATAGGATTTTTCTTTCAAAAACGACGAGTCTGCTCTCGTCGGTTTTCCAGATTGCCCAAGCCTGTTGCGCTGCACATGCAACGATTGGTCTTTTCTAAGTAGTATGCAGTTTGTTTTTTTTTCTTTTAAATCCCTCCTGACAACCGCGTCGGACCGAAAAAGTATTTGCTCGCAGGTACGAGGTGTACGTTACGTTATATTTGTAACGCAGACATGTCTATGCGAACTAAAATAGTACACTGCGTTCCGTTTAATTTATGATTATTATTACGATCGTCGTCGTCGTGGTCGTGTAATTGAGACGCTTCATAAATAATCAAACGCGGTCATTATACAGGTATACAATAATGTAATCAACCGCGGTCTGGTAAAAATCAATGGCAGCCATACGCACGCAATAATAATAGTATAACAATTGGCTAGATTATATTATTATTACATATATTATTGTTTTCGAGAAGGTGTGTGGGTCACAATTCGCGAGCACGTTGAAACGTTAACACGTGACTTTTTGGCAAAAACGGCACATTATAATACGTACAGGTATAATAATATTATGTATGCGTGTAGGTATAGGCAAATGTGCGTCACCGTATTATGCGCGCACACACGCATAACGCAATCGTATACTTGACATATTCGATACAGGTAATATAATACGATAAATGATTAATATTATCATCGTTGCGTATTATATCACGCGTGCGATAGGTACACGGTAATGTACATGACGTTGGCAAACGCGGTTTGTTTTTTTTTTTTTTTGTTTTTTTTTCCTCTCGGTCGTTGTTCGTGCACTAAACGGGTAATT